AAACCACCTTGCTAAATATGTTCATAGCACCTTTACTCATAGTAACCTAAGACTGGGAACATCCCAGATTTCCGTTAATCTGAGAACGGATAAATTATGCTGTATTCATACAGTGGAATAAATACTACCCAGCAACAAAAAAGAATTACTGATCTGTGTGATGACATAGACAAGTCTCAAAAATCTTTTGCTGAAAGCAGCAGACACAAAAATGCACAAAATACCTGCCTACAATCTCACCGTGGTAAATTCTAGAATTGGCAAAAATAACCCATGCCAACAGAAATTGCTGTGTGCTTTGGGGCGTATAGGGAAGAAATGTCTGGGGACAAGAAGGGACAAGAAAGAACTTTCTGGATGGATGGGAATGTTCTGTGTCTTGGTATGTGTTTGCCAGAAATGGAAATTCAATGGTGTACCTAGGAGAAGAGCGTTTCACTGTTCTGGGTACTTAGCAAAATTCTAGGCTAAGGGGATTTCTTTTCTTACAGATTTTATTTATTTTAGAGACAGAGAGCATGAGTGGGGGTTTGGGGCAGAGGGAGAAGGAGAGAATCTCAAGTAGACTCCGCACTGAGCACAAAGCCCAACACGGGACTTCACCCCACGATCCTGAGATCATGACCTAAGCCAAAACCAGGAGTCTGATGCTCAACTGACTGAGCCACACAGGTGCCTCTAGACTAAGGGGACTCTCAAGAAGAGTAATTCTCAGGAAATTCTTCTTGTACTGCTCTGCCCCAGCAGCTCACTGTCATCGAAGGCTTTGATGCTCTCCTCCTTTTGCAGTTGCTCCATCAGCGGCCAGCCACTGTGATGTCCCCCTGCACCTGCACTTTTTCCTTGTTTTGTTTTGAATTTACATTAGCTGCATCCTGGGGTCCTGGGATCGAGCCCTGCATCGGGCTCCCTGCCCGGCGGGAAGCCTGCTTCTCCCTCTCCTCCCCACTCCTGCTCTATCTCTTCTCTCTCAAATAAATAAAATCTTTAAATTTTTTTTTTTATAAAGACTGTGTTGGGTATGGGCAAAAATAGTATGAGGGGTCCCTGGGTGGCTCAGTTGGTTAAGTGTCTGACTCTTGATTTTTGGCTCAGGTCATGATCTCAGGGTTGTGAGACTGAATGCCACGTCAGGCTCCATGCTCAGTGCAGAGTCTGCTTGAGATCCTCTCTCTCCCTCTCCCACTGTCCCTATCCCTGCTCATGGTTTATCTCTTTAATAAAGTAATAAAATATTTTAAAAAACATTATGAAATGGGGGTGCCTGCCTGGCTCAGTCAGTAGAGCATGGAACTCTTCATCCTGAGGTCATGAGTTCAAGCCCCATCCATGTTGGGGGCAGAGTTTACTTAAGAAAACAAAAACAAAAACAAAAAAAAACAAAAAAAAAGCTAAAAAGGTAGTAGGAAATCGATTCTATCAGGGATGTTTTTATCATATGATAATCAGGCGTAAATGATGACATTAGCACTAAGGTTGGCAAATTATGGCCCACAGGCCAAATCTGGCCCATGTGTTTTCGTAAACAGTCTTGTATTTACGAGTCTATGTAACCACAGGTGGTTACACAGGTGTACCTCTTTCTAGATTGGTTAGTGTCCAAATGCAAAGATGTTCGTGCATGGATTCAGCAAGCTTTGCAGTTTATCCTTGGCTGTAACTGCCCCGTTCTGAAAACGTGGGCAGGACCTTTGTCTTGTAAGGGCCTGCCCCTCCCAGAGGAACTGGTTTGTGGACGCGGATGTAGGGGCGAGGCAGGCCAGGTGGAGACGTCCAATCGGTGGGGCGCGCGTATATCTACTGGGGTGAATTGGGATTCAATTGGCCGCCTGTGTAGGGGCAGGGCTCAACCACCCCCATAAAGGTTGGTCTGCAAGTCTGTGGAGGGGAGAAGGAGGAGAGCTGTCAGAGGAAGAAGGAAGAAGCAGCAGCAGAAGGAGAAGAGTCGGCGGGAGCAGAAGAACAGCTCTAACAGCTCTTGTAAGAGCTATTAAGAGCCACTGGCGGTCCCGCGCCGCCAGCGGTCCTGACGCCTGAGGCCCAGAGCTGCCAGCGGCCCCGAGCCGCCAGCGGTCGAGATGCCAGCCATCCCGCGCCGCCAGCGGCCCCAATGCGCCAGCGGCCCCAGCGCCAGCGGCCCCGCCCACACACCACGACCCTCGGCAGCGGCGTAGCAGGGAATGGCCTAGATAGCAGCAACCTCGCGGGGAACCCTGAGCCGCTGCCTCGCCAGAGCTGTGTCATTTTGGGGAGCGGCTTAGTCTGGGAAGAGGCCTCCTTGGGGAGCAGCATCATCAGGAAAGAGGCTTCCTCCAGAGCGGCCTCGCCGGAGCAGCCTTGCCTGGGGAGTGGCCTCGCCAGTGCAACCTTGTCAGAGTGGCGTCATGGGGAGCAGAGTCTGTGTCATCGGTGTTGTCCTCCTCATCATCGTCGCTGTCGTCATCGCCTCTTCGTCATTGGGAGCGGCCTCCTCCTGGGAGCGGCTTCCTCCAGAGTGGCCCCTTCTTGGGAGCAGCTCCAACCAGGGAGTGGCCTCGTCGGTGAGCGGCCTCGTCCGGAGCGGTGGCCTCCTCTGGGGAGCAGCCTTGTCAGAGTGGCATCATGGGGAGCAGAGTCTGTGTCATCGTCGCTGTCATCACCTCTTCGTCGTTGGGAGCGGCCCCATCTGCGGAGCAGCCTCCTCCTGAGCGGCCTTCTTGGGAGTGGCCTCTTCTTGGGAGCGGCTCTATGTTAGGGTCCATGATCAAAGGAACGAGACTGATATGAAGCGAAAATCAAACAAAGCTTTATTTCACGCCAAGCATCAAAAATCAAACTGACCGGTCAGGGCTGTCTCTTACGAAAAGACGACGATGATGATTCCGACAAGGTCACTCCCAAGAAGGCCACTCCAGACGAGGCTGCTCTGCAGATGAGGCCGCTCCCAAGAAGAGGTCACTCCCAAGAAGGCCGCTGCTGGTGAGGTCGCTCCCTGGACAGGGCCGCTACCTACACAGGCGGCCAATTGAATCCCAATTCACCCCAGTGGATATACGCACGCCCCACTGATTGGACGTCTCCACCCGGCCTGCCTCGCCCTACATCCGCGGTCCACAAGCCAGTTCCTCTGGGAGGGGCAGGCCCTTACAGTCTTAGCATGGTTTGTAACAGCAAAATAGTAAATCACCCTGATAGGAGAAAGTTTACGTCATGAGGTGCAAAAATTAAATGGCATACTATTGGGAGACTAAATTGGGTTCCTAAAAACAACACGGATGACCCCAATGTGGGGCTCAATCCCAGGAACCCCAGGGATCGCCACCTGAGCCAAAGGGAGACACTTCACCAACTAACCCACCCAGGCGCCCCTCCAACATAGTCTCTTTAAATCATTGTCAATATTTACCTGCCAATTAGCCTCTCTAGGCTGTATTTTTCTGCATCTACACAACGGAAATAATAGAAGAACCTGCTTCACCAAGATCCCTGTGCTGCACGAGGTAATGGAGACTGCGTGCTGGGGTACAGCCTACCTCGCAGCAGCTGCTCAAATACTTATTATCATCTCTCTGATGACTGATGAACTCATGCATTTTTTAACATACTGGTTGTCCATTTGTATTCCTTTTGTAAATCTCCTGTTCATACAAAAGACTAGTGAGCAACCTTTGCCTTGGTCCTCCCTAAATGGAATGGAGATGGCTCTACATCTGGGATTGGCAAGGTCTTTCTAGTAAATATTTTACCTTTTCAGGCTATGCAAGCTCACAACTGCTCAGTTCCACCTTAGTGTGTTAAAACAGCCACAGACAGTACGGAAATGAGTGGGTGTGGCTATGTTCCAACAAGATTATTTACAAAACACATGGGCCAGGTTTGGCCTGTGGGTCATAATTTGCCAACCTCAGTGCTAATGTCATCATTTAAGCCTGATTATCATATGATAAAAACATTTTTTTTCCTGTTACCAGGGGTTTTCTTTCCTTAAATAGTCTTTAAACGTTATCAACTTCTTTCTCATTAATCATTGAGATGATTGGCTTTCTCCACTGATTGATTAAAATGGGTATTATGGTTATGTATTTCCTAATACTCAGTACACTGATCCTGGAATGAATGTTTCTGAATTCAAATGTACTAGCTACTCTGGCTTTACTGGCAGGATCTGATCTGGAAATTTTGCATTAATAGTCCTGAAAGATATCGGCCTTTAATTGTTCCTTCTTTGAGTTTGACAAACTGGCATCACAACAGAGGTAAACATTCAGCTTTCTACATATTCTGGAACAGTGTGTATCAGCACAGAGCCCATCCCGGGACTTGACCTCACAACCCTGAGATCATGACCCAAGACAAAACCAAGAGTCAGATGTTTTAAGTGACTGTACCATCCAGGTGCCCCTTCTCCCCTTTGTCTTTTCATTTACTGTAAAATTATAGCAGTTTTTTTAAAAAATAAAAAGATTTATTTGAGAAAGAGAAAGAACGTGTGAGCAGAGGAGGGGCAAATGGAGAGAATCTCGTGGGGCCAGACACAGGGCTCGATCTCTTGACCCTGAGATCATGACCTGAGCCAAAACCAAGAGTCGGACACTCAACTGAGCCACCCAGGTGCCCCATAAAATTGTAGCAGTTTTGAACATGAAAAGGAAAACCACACGATCCCCAAAGACTTTTACTGATTAGCCACGTTCATTTCTGTTTTCTTCTAAGCTCTTCTCCAAACGCACATGGAGGGCAACACAGTCACAACAGGTCACATTCCACTGTAGTTGACCCGGGAACAACTTGGGGGTTGTTGAGCGCTGATGCCCTGCACATCTGAAAATCCGCACAGAACTTTGACTCTCCAAAAACTTGACTAATAGCCTCCTACCGACTGGCAATCTTACCGATAATACAAGCAGTCAGTTGATTAACACATAGTTTATAGATCATATATATTACATTCTGTATTCTTATACTAAAATAAGCTAGAGGAAAGAAAATCAAAAGAAAAATAAATTTACAATACTGTACTGTATTTATTGAAAAAAATCCACATGTAAGTGGAATTGCACAGTTCAAAACTGTGTTGTTCAAGGGTCAACTGTATTCTAGGCATTTTCCATGTTTCTACACAGTGTTCATAATTACAGTTTATAATGAATTCCTGAAACAAATTAGAAGCAGCCCAATTTTCTAGCATTGGGGGAACAAGGAAGCAACTAATGGCACTCTGGCTCTTTGGGACAGTACATCAGTCATTCAGCCAAATATCCTCAACCTGTTTTGACTTCTGAGCAATAGCCCTTCCCACACTGGGTAATCACATTAGTTAGTATTACTAAAGAGACTTTTGATCTCACTAACTAAAAAATTTTTCCTAGGTATCAAATGCCACGTAGGTTCAACCCTTCTCTGGGAATGCACCAAAAAACCCACAAAATTTAAATGTATGTGTACAGTTTTTATATATTAAAATGAAATATGTATTTTTTTTCTCCCTCATATGAGTTTTTTAGTGCCCAATAAAATCAGAACCTTGATTAAAAGCCTTCCCGCATTGATGACATTTATATGGTTTCTCTCCAGTGTGCATTCTCTTATGTTGAGTGAAGGATAAATGAAAACTGAAAGTTTTCCCACATCCGTTACATTTATATGGCTTCTCACCAGTATGGATTCTCTTGTAAACTGTAAGGTGAGAGCTGTGACCAAAGGCTTTTCCGCATTCATCACATTCGTACAGTTTCTCTCCAGTGTGCATCCTTTCACGTTGTGTATCGAAGGAGCAGTCGCTAAGGGCTTTCCCACATTCATTACATTTATAGGGTTTTTCTCCAGTATGTGTTCTCTTATGCACACTGACATTAGACCGTCCACTGAAGGATTTTCCACAGTCATCACATTTATAGGGTTTCTCTCCAGTATGAATTTTCTGGTGTACATTAAGGTGAGAATTTTGGCTAAAAGACTTTCCACATTTATTACACTCGTAAGGTTTCTCACCAGTGTGAGTTCTCCGGTGTAAAATGAAGTGTAGGCTCTGCCAGAAAAACTTCCCACATTCATTACATTCATAGGCTTTCTCTCTACCGTGATTTCTCAGATGGTAAGAAAGAGATGAAAGTTTCTTTTTCTTTTTTTTTTTTTTAAAGATTTTATTTATTTATTTGACAGAGAGAGAGAGAGAGATCACAAGTAGGCAGAGAGGCAGGCAAAGAGAGGGGGAAGCAGGCTCACTGCTGAGCAGAGAGCCCGATGTGGGGCTCGATCTCAGGACCCTGAGATCATAACCTGAGCCGACCTGAGCCAAAGGCAGAGGCTTAACCCACTGAGCCACCCAGGCGCCCCGAGATGAAAGTTTCTTAAAGGCTTTCCCACATTCATTACATTCATAGGATTTCTCCTTAGTAGGAGTTCTCATGACCTGAGAAAGGGGTGAGCTATAGATAAAAAAATCTCCACTTTCTTTACATCCACAGAATTTCTCTCCTATGTTAATTATCTCATGTGTAGAGAGGTATACGCTCTGGCTGGTATCTTTACCATGCTCATTCAACTTCGACAGGTTTCCCAAGGGTCTTCCACATGGACTGCCTTTACAAGTTTTCTTCCCCACCAAGATTTCCTGATGATTTTTAAAATAAAATTATGCTGTACGCCTTGAGCTGAGTCAATTTGATAGAAATACTCTTTAACAAGAAATCTCCATGAAGAAAATGTCTGAATTGAAGCTGCATTTTCCCACAATTGCAGCATTTCCCCAGTCCCCAACCTGGGTCTCACTACTTGCCCTTGTTTATGTCCCGTCAGCCCGGAAATAGCACTGTGTGTCTTCTTCTCCGACTCGTCCCCAGGTTCCCAGCCATCTGCTGTGGTAGAACACCAGCAACCATCCACTGCAGGCCTCGTCAGGTTCATGCTGCTGGGTAACTCGTTCCCAGCAAAGGCCTCTGTTGGTGGCAATTCTTGGCTTCTAGGTCTCTTCTTCCTTTCTAGAAGGAAATTAAAAATAATTTGGGTGCTTAGAAGAAAACTCCTAGAGTGAGAATGTTGAGATAAAAGCCACAAGATGTGCACAGGGGGAGTAGATGTTTTACAGTACCAACCAAAAAAAAGGTGGAACTCTGAGAAGAAAAGCCACGGAAGGTACACACAGAACACAAAGAACCCACAGGAAGACTGACCAACCTAACAGTCAGCACAAAAGGCAGAGGGGATACCGTTACGAGACAGGTCACAGAATAGGCAGACACCCCTAGACGTGAGATGCTCAGGACCACCGCCCTTCGCTTATGCTTGGACATCCCAGAATCTGACCCATTTCTCCACCTAACGTCTTTTCTGCCTGTAGTCAATAACAAATAAATCTTCCCAGCAAACCAGTTTCATGATGGTAAGAACATGTCTTTAGATCCAGTCTTCCAAAGCACCCAGAAGCAGGGTCAGACTACCTCAGTTCTCCTCAATCCTTCTCCTTCTGGGTTTTAGTTCTCCCTTAACATGACCATTTCCACCACTAGCACAGAGTCCCTCTGCCTGAGGACCTTCCTTGGGTCTCCAAAGTCTTCAGTGTCAGCAACCTACCCCTTTCATCATTCAGCTCTCAAGTCCCAGGTAACCTCCTCTGAGAGACCCTGCCCAACCTCCTGGCCTGCCTGGGTTCCTCGTCACTTTCCACCACATTGTCCTGTTTCACTTCCCGCATACACTGTTCAGCATTAGTCAACCTCCCTTTGTTCTTTTTGTTCTTTATTGTCTGCCCCTCCCCAGACACCATATACTAGCGGCTTTCGGCTCCACGGTGGGGGAACCTTGTCCATCCTGTTCCCACTGTGTTTCCAGTACCCAAATAACACAGGGAACGAGAGGGCTCCACAGGCATATGGATAAACACAGAGTGGTCCGCACGCTAGGCAGAGGCAACTCACCTAGAGCACCAAGGACGCTTGGGACATGTCTGCGAGGTGGCCTGACAGGGCACCTGCTTGTGCTCAGCAGCCTGACTCCCAGCGGAGGGGAGGCCTTGTGTTTCTGACGTGGGAGGAGGCTGTGGAGCTGAATGCGAGGAGGGCTTTGCAAGGTCACGCAGAGCAAAGAGGGGGCTGGAAACCTGCAGAGGGTTTCTCCTGGAGTCCTTAACTAGACTCCAACTGCAAGTGCACAGAAGGCTAAGACCTGACAAAGAACAGCTGCTACAGGGCTGAGCAGAGGTTTCAGAAGTTACCAAGTGTTGGGGGACACTGGCTCTGACCCAGTGAGCACCCGAGGCATTCTGGTAAAACTGTAGAAAGTTGTACCTTAGAAGGAAACAGCCTCAAGGATAAGAACTACATCCAAGAACTAAAGCAAAACCAAAGTTATGTTACTTTAATAAATCCTAAACCTGAGCCTCATCAAGATTAGGATGACTTCAGTAATTTAACTGCCTCCAGAAAAAAAGAACAACGGTGTCACAGCCGGCGCGACAAATCGACCAGGGTCGAGAGGGTAAGAGGATGCTGAAAAGAAATTAAGAGACAAAGAGATGGGGGCAGGAGGAGCACCAAGGAGGATGTCCAATAGTGCTGATTTTATTCAAGGCTGTGAGGCATTATATAACTAACAGAAACAATCATAAGAAAAGTATCTATTTTTAGCTGATTACTAAAGAGTTTGCAACATGCACAGAAAATCCTTCAAGCTTTCCCATTATCTATTTCCTAAACATCAATAGCAGATCTTCTAGCACCAGATGCACTGACTTCATGGCCACTCAAGACATAGTTTGTGTAAGCACAGCACAGTCTTACAGTGGTGTAGTCTATAGCCCGTGCAAGGACAGCAAGGACCAGCCAAGAATTTCTGACCGCGGCCAAATCGCCTCTATCTGACTAGCAAGCGTGTGGGAAGTCACGTAGGCGAGCGCGCAACACACAGCACAGACCCTTTCTCGGTGCTACTCGACTTCATCGACCTAAGCCTTTTGTTCGGCTATTCAGCCTTTAAAGGAGGCACAAGTCAGGGCCTGGTTTGGTCCTCGTCTCAAGCCTTACCATGGCCTCCCACAGAACGGACAATTCTGGTAGAAGACAAGACTCCATCATCTCTCCAATGCATCGTGTGCGGCATTCAGTATACAGAAATTGACTAGACATGTAAAGAATCAGGAAAATGTGACTCATCACCAAGAAAAAAAAAAGTCAATAGAGGCAGATATACCAAACATTAGAAGTAGCAGGAAAAAAATGAAAAATGACTATTATAGCTCTTTCTCTTCAACTTGGTGGCTGAGCAGCAAACACAGAGAGGATCCTCATGAAGACCCTGACAAGCAAGAACGTTACCCTCATGGGAGCCCAGTGACACCATTGAGAATGTCAAAGCCAAGACAATGAGGGTTCCCACTTGAAGCCACTTGAAGATGAATGTCTGTGCTGGGGGAGGACGGCTACACTCTCTCAGACTACAATATCCAGAAGAAGAGCCCCTGCATTTGGTACATGGCCTGGAGGTGCGTCCCCTAGCCTTCCTTCTGCCAGCTCGCCCGGAAATTCAACTGCAACGAGTGTTGTGCTCCCAGACGTGTGGCCGCACCAACCATCCACACCCAAAGAAGAATGTCAATAAAGTCTCTCCATCAGCTCTTCCTTTCCCCTCCATCAGCTCTGCCTTTCCCCACAGGGTGGCCTCCTGCCGGAGCCCCATGGCCCTGGGGCCTCAATAAAGTTCCACTTACACTGACCGGGGAAAAAACCCAACCTACTATAAACATAACAGAATTTCATGGGAAATTTTCAAATGAAAATTCCATTCTGGAATTAAATAAAAATGTAGTATCTGAAGTAAACCTGAGAAGACTTCATAGCAGACTAGACACAACAGAAGAAAGAATCTGTGAATTCAAAGGCAGGTAAGTGGAAATTTTATGATGACACAAAAGGAGAAAATAATATAAAAACAGAACACTTGACAAAAAGATTAATGTGTAGTTGGAGTTACAAGAGAGACTGAAGCAGCAGAGGAAACATTTGAAAAGATAAGAACAGAGAGTTGATCTAGACTGATCAAAGGTACCATCCCAGGTGTTTAGTGTTCAAGGGCAATAACCTGCAGAGGAAATCGTATGATTCTGACATTTGATATCAAACCATATTCATTACGTACCTCAATGTTACAAATGAAGCTAGTAAAACCATTCTAAATGACAGTCTCCGGGGGAAGACAGACATGAGACTAAAATTCCCACTTCTAAAATGCAACTTTTTACTGGGTACATAGTAAAGACTCACCCGAAAAAAGGTGAAAGTTCACAGGCAGTGTGGGCTTAAAGCACCGTACCCAGAAATGTAGAACTAAACCATCAGTTCTCTCTGATTTCATTCATCTGTTCCCTGTAAATCCTCTCCTCTCTCTGAAAAACAGTTGGTAAACTGTGCCTACCTTTCCAGAGAACTGAGACAGACACAAGGGGGAGCCTCATCCAGGCCAAAATGACAGAATTCCAAAAGCCAAGACTTTAAAGGGATGACAGGTCTTTATGAAACACCACATCCAACAGTAACAGAATACATACATACCCACCTACCCACCCAAATAGACCATATGCTGTATCGTAAAAACATTTCTCAATAAATTTAAGAGGACCGAATTCATACAGAGTATGTTCTTCAACAACAATGAAAATAATCTAGCCATCAATAACAGCAATCCCCTCACACTTGGAAATTGAACAATGTACTTCACGAATCAAAGAAGAAATCACTTTCGTATGTTGTATTTTCATTACCATTCAGTTCAAGACATTTGGAAAACAAAAAATAATGAACTGAACAATAATGAAAATACAACATGTGGGGCGCCTGGGTGGCTCAGTGGGTTAAAGCCTCTGCCTTCGGCTCAGGTCATGATCTCAGGGTCCTGGGATCGAGCCCGCATCTGGCTCTCTGCTCAGCAGGGAGCCTGCTTCCTCCTCTCTCTCTGCCCGCCTCTCTGCCTACTTGTCATTTCTATCTGTCAAATAAATAAAATCTTAAAAAAAAAAAAAGAAAATACAACATGTGAAAATGTGCAGGATGCAGTTGAAATTAAGATTTAAAGGAACATGTATACTATAAATGCAAACATTAGAAAGAGAAAGCATTAAAATTAATGAACTAAGCTTCTGCCCTAAAAAAGCCAGAAAAAAGGAAACCAAATTAAACCAAAACAACGAAAGGGAATAATAGAAAGCAGAAATCAATGGAACGGAGAAAAAAAATTCAACCATGTCTATAGATGCATATACAGCATTTGATAACACCCATTCACGATAAAAAAAAAAAAAAAAGTCCTCAGGAAACCAGGAATAGTACTTTCTCAATTTGATAAAGGGTTTCAGATAATATTTAATGGTAAAGTATTTAATGCTATTCCGTAACATCAGGAGCAAGGCAAGGATGTTCATTCTTACCACTTTTATTTAACATTGTACTTGATATCTATGGTGACAGGTATCAGAAGAATGGTTGCCACACTGGGGGAGTCCTAAGTGGAAAAGGACATTAGGAAATGTATGGGAATGGAAATATGCTATGTGTGGACTGGAGTATAGGTCACACAAATATACATTTGCAAAACTTTATTGGACTGTAGTCTTAGGAACAGCATATCTCACTGTATGTTAATTACACATCAATTTTTTTTAAAAAGTACTATAGAGGTCTTGGCTGGTATAATAATATGGTAAACGAAAAAGCGTAAAGTCTCTAAAGGAAGAAGCAAGGCAATCCTTATTTGAAAACAACATGACTGGGTAAAAATCTAAAGACATTGAAAATAAATTACTAGAACAATTAAGTGATTTTAGCAAGTTCACACAGGATAGAATGTCAGTTAAGAAGAAATTATATTTATATACACTAGCAACAAACAATAAGAAAATGAAATTACAAATAATTTTTACAATAGCATAAAAAATGCCAAATCTCTAGGAATAAAATTAGTAAAAGATGTGCATGACCCGTATGCTTAAAAACTGAAAAATATTGCTGCAAGAATTACCTAAATATACCATAAGCAAAATTAGAAGGCTAGACATGTTAAGATATAAAGTCTTCCTAAATGGATTCTTTTTTTTTTTTTTTTTTTTTTTTTTTTAAGATTTTATTTCTTTGACAGAGAAGGGGAGAGAGCAAGTACACAAGCAGGGGCAATGGGGGAGGGAGAAGCTGAGCAGGGAGCCCAGCGTGGGGCTTGATGGGATCATGACCTGAGCCAAAGGCCGAAGGCAAACGCTTAACTGACTGAGCCACCCAGGTGCCCCCCCACACTGATTCTAAGGCACTACCAATCAAAACTGTTAATCTATCACCCAACAACTCCACTCCTAGACATTTACTCAAGAGAATAAAAACACAAGTCCACTGGAAACATTGCACAAGAATGTTAGCACCATTATTCCTAACAGCCCAAAACTAGAGACAATCCAAATGTTCATTATCAACAGAATGGATAAATTGTAAGTGATTAAAAAATAAAATGTCCCTAAATACTAAAAAGTAAAAGTAAAGAAATAAAAATGCATATAAAATCACAGATGAATCTCAAAAATCTTAGGGTAATAAGCCATACGCAAAAGAAATAATATATAATTCGCTTTATATGAAGTTCTAGAAAAGGTAAAAATAACCTATGGTGGAAAAAAAAATCTCAATAGTGGCTGCCTTTCGGAAATGGAAAGAGGTAACAAAGGAACTTCGTGAAGTAATGAAAATATCGAGCCCCATTTAGATGAGAATTACATATGTGCGTACATTTATCAAAATGTTTCAACTGTACATGTAAACTTTGTGCATTTTGGAAGTACCGTGGGCAAAAAAATAAAAAAGCCCATTGTCTTCAAAGTAACAAAAATAAGAAGGCAGTTGACTTCTCAACAGAAACCATGGAGTCCAGAAGACAACTGCATGGTGTTTTCAAAGTGCTGAGAAAAAGAAAAAAAAAAACAAAACAAAAAAACAAAAACCTGACAACCTAAAATTCTCTGTTTACAGTATCTTTCCAAAATGAAGATGAAATAAAGGCATTTTCAGGCAAACACAAAATGAAGGCATTTTGTCACTCTAAAAGAAATGATAAAGGGAACTCAAGCAAAAGGAAAATGATCCCAGATGGAATTATGGAAATGAAAAGGTAATGAAAAGCTGTAGAGAAAGAAGATATGAAGGAACATATAAACAAACACTGACTGTAAAGATCCTTTCCCATCTCACCTAGGCGGGAATCCTGGGAGAGCCCTCTGTCCATCATGCATTGCTCTACGCCAAATTCTAGGTGGGCAACAGTATCTGGCTTGAGGTTCCAAGGTCCTGGGCAAATGAATGATCAAGCTGTGAGGTTCTGGTTCTTTTCATATACATTTTGGGACAACGTTTTGTTTTGTTTTTAAGTAAGCTCAATGTCCAACATGGGGCATGAACTCACAACCCCAAGATCAAGAGTCACATGCTCTACAAAATGAACCAGGCAGCCGCTTCAGGCTGAGGTTTGATGAGGACAAATCCCCCAGTGACTCCACATTCCCAGCTAAATCAAACCCACTCTCCCAAGACCCCACGCAAATAGAAGTGGACATGGGGAACAGCCTCACCCACAGTGACCAGGTGTCTTAAGGTCCCCAGCATCACGTTATGCAGGGCTCAGCAGGCCTCATTCCTCCTGGGAGAAGTCCACCGTCACATCATCGAAAGTAACCTGCCCTTGAAATGTCACCCACATGCCTGCTGAGCCAGGACCCTTACCCCTGCAAAGCCGCAGGGACGGCTACGTGTGAATGCGAATGCACCAGGTGTACAGGGAGATGTTCTAAAAGCTGTCTGGCTCCTGAGGGATACACCTGAGCCTTTGCAGGGGGCATCAGGGCTCCGCATCAGCCATTTCAGAGGTGAGCTGCCATTACACTAAAATGTTCACCCCTACACAGCTCCCCCATTTCTTGATCAACTTGGGATCTTCCACAAAACCAAAAGAACGCTTCCCTTGACGACCCCCCTTTTTTATACCACCAGGTGCATGAAAACGATAACGTTAATATTTGCCGACAATAACGTTAACCTTTGCCAGGGATCCTCTTCCCACGCCGGGTGCGGTACTTCAGCGAGCACTTCACCTAACGGAAATTTTCTTACGCCTCACAACGGTCTCGGGAAGCAGTTCCCACTTCTTGCGGGGGGGGGGGTGTTTTTTCAAAAGAGGAGGCTGAACTCAGTTAACAGCGCGGGAATTACGGTTATGGCGGCTTCACAACCACGAACTGAGCGACGCTTCGTCTTTCCGACCGTCATTCCAGACGATGGGAACACAGAACTGCTCGTCCCTTACGTGCGCGGTAGCTGAAGCCACCGGGAACCCGGGTGTGCAACTTTCTCGCCGGGAGGTTTCGTCTCGACTTCTACTGGTTAGGGGACATCGCGCTACATGCAAGGTCTGCAGGATTACGAGGTCTTCTGCCGCGCCCGGCCACAGCGACGGGCTAGGGCACCGACTCCCATCCGAGACTCGGGAGCAGGGTGCACACCCGGCCCGGGAAAGGAGGGCGCGCGGCCACTCACCCCAGGGCGAGCTGCCAGGGGCCCCGCGGCCATGGCCTCTTCCGACTCCGAGGTCCTCCAGGCGCCACCTGCAGCCCCACCCGCTCCCTCCAGCTCCCACCGGCTCGCGGCTCCGGACAGACCGCCCAGGACGGCCCCACACCATGGAACAGACCCGAGCCGCGGGGCCAGCACAGCCTCTCCACGCGAGGGCGGCGCCGGGGGCAAAGCGTAACTACCAGGACCAGAAAACCCCGCGCTGCGGCCCCTGACCAATGGGAGAGCGCGGCCGGGGACTCCGGAGAGACGGACCCCGCCGCATAGGCATTCCGGGAGTTGTAGTCCGGAGGCCGGAGCCCTTGTCCTAGTCCAGCAGTCGACACACCTGAGCTCCCAGAAGGTTAGACTACGTTTCCCAGAAGGCGCGGCGATAGGCGAGTCCGCCCAATGGACAAGCTCGACCGGGCCGGACTGGGGAAAAGGGGACCTACCGACCCGGTTTAAGCTCCCCGGCCGGGCGTAGGCGGCAATGAGACGGATTTCTCTCACTATAATTCCCCGAAACTACGTTGGTCAGGTTCTCGAACTCCAGAAGCGCGCAATCGGTGGCTACGGAGAGTCCGAGAAGCCTGAGGAGAGGGATTCCAGAAGTTACAGGAAATTGTAGTCGCACCAACTTTGTCCACCAGGTGGCGGGCGTGGACCTCGGGCCTCGTACTACCTTTCCCAGAGGCTCCGCGGGGCGGGTCCTCCTCCCGAGGAAAGAACGTAGTGGGCGGTGCTGGAAAAATAGGTGTCTCCCAGCAGCGTGGCCTCCTGGGAGTTGCAGTCCACTGTCTGCATTCCGCCGGGTCCCGTGCTCAGGCTCGGACTACAGCTCCCAGAAGGCTCCGTGGCAGCGCGGGGTTGGGAGCGTCTGGGGGCCGCCAGCCCTCAGCTCTAGCTGTAGAAAGACGCTGTCTTCACAAGTACACCTTCCTGAGGACGAAGTCAGAGTAAGTGTCTTGATGACAAAGGCGCGCGTTCAAGTGTTCTGTGCCTGCCCGGTGTTTCCGTTCATCGGGTGGGTGACGGAGGCAGGCTTCCCTCACGCACCGTCGGGTACGTCTTCCATGAAACAGGCGCTCGGGCTCGGCTAAATCTTGAGGCTGTCGTAACCGAGGTTTACCCCCGCGTTTCTGCCTCCTTGACGCGAAGGGGAGGTGAAGGGATCCTGAGGCGGTTTCGTTGCGCGTTCGGAGCGCCGGAATGCGGAGAAGCGCGCCTGCGCGGAGCGAACCTGGGTTTGGGAAGGGAGGTGCAGGCGAGCCTTGGGCCGCTTCTCGCGGACGCCGCGCGCTCGGCCCTCCTGGCCGGCCTGTGTGCGGGCGAGGTGGGCATGTGGCCCACGCCGGGCGGAGCCCTGACTCCCTGGCTGATGATGTCTTCCACGCACTTTTCGCCTCCCAGCCTTTTCTGCACAGGGCGGACCCCCCAGTCCATGTCCTCTGTGCTCTTCTTGGTGGCTCTTTAAGGGATTTTCACACCCCTTTTCCTTAAAGATGTATTTATTTGCTTCAGGGAGAGGAAGAGCGAACGAGGGGAGGGGCAAATGGGGAGGGGGCGAAAGAATCCCAAGTATCTCGCACGGAGCGGGAGCCTAAGGGGAGGGCGGGTATGTCACAAACCCCTGAGATCAGGACCTGGGCTGAAACCGAGAGCCACCCTTAACCAAAAGCACCGGCCAGGAACCCCCAAACCCAGGGCTACTCCCTAACCCATTACCGGCCACTGCCATTTTGTGTCATTGGAAAGCAAGCCCCAGTGTTTTGGGTGTCCTGTTTTAACTACAGTACATAATGTAACGATAAGAGCCATTTTCCAACATAACTAAAATTCCATTATAAAACTTTTAGAAAAAATAACTTGCACTACTGAATATTCAGTATTCGAACTTAAAATTATCTCCATGGTTTTAAGTAGTTTGAGGGATAAGTGGAGCCTGAAGGGCTCATTCGGTTAATGCACCAACTGGTTCTTGATTTTGGGTCAGAGACTGACTTCCAGGCTCGGAGGGGAGTCTGCTTGAGTTTCTCTCTTTCCCTCTCCCTCTGCCGCTCCCTCTGCTCTCTCTCTCTCTCTCTTTCTCTCAAATAAATAGGTAAAATCTTAAAAAATTTATTTGAGAGATCGATAGCGACAGAGCAAGCGTGGGGAGGAGAGGGAGAAACAGGCTCCTGGATGAGCAGGGACCCCAGTGCAGGGCTGGATTCCAGGACCCTGCGATCATAACGTGAGCTGGAGGCAGATGCTTAGCTGGCTGAGCCACCCAGGTGCCCTAATAAATAAATCTTTTTGAAAAACAAAAATAAAAAATAGTTTTTCTTTTTTTTTTTTAATTTATTTATTTGACAGAGAGAGATCATAAGTAGGCAGAGAGGCAGGCAGAGAGAGAGGGGGAAGCAGGCTCCCAGTTTAATTTTTTCTTAAAGCAGGGTGTAACAAAGGGCTATGCTTTGTAACATATTAATTCCCTTGTTTTTTGGTAACAGCTTTATCTAAGTACCATTCACCTACCATGAAATTCACCCATTTACAGTGTAGAATTCAGTGACTTTTAGCATATTCACATATTTGTGCAGCCATCACGAAAATCAATGTTAGAATATTTCTTCCCCCTCAAAAAGCACTGTACTTCTTATAAGGCCTTCACCTACTAGTCTGTCCTCCCCCAGCCCTAGGCATCCATGAACTGACTGCTGTCTCTATGCATTTACCCATTTTGGACATTTCATATAAATGAAGGCATACAGTATATGGTCTTTTGTGACAGGCTTCTTGCACTCACACAGCATATTTTAAGTTTCATCCATGCCGTAGTTTCAGTTCTGTTTTGCCAAATCACACTCCACAGATATGGCATATTCCATCCACTCACCACTTGAAGGACACTTGAGTTGTTTCCACTTTCTGCTTGCTCGTAACGTTTGTGCACAAGTTTTTGCGTGGACATATATGTTCATTGCCCTTGTGTATCTATCAAAGAGTGGAATTACCAGGTCATATGGTCATTCTGTGTTTAAGAAGGGCCATCAGAAAAAACAAAGCCCTTCAGACACCCTCGTTTTAGCCTGCAAGACCTTAAGCAGAGGACCCAGCTTAGGCTCAGGTCATGATCTCTGGGTGCCTGGATGGAGCCCCGTGTCAGGGAGGGAGCCTGCTTCTCCCTCTCCCTTTGCCCCTCCCCCTGCTCATGGTTGTGTGTTCTCTCTCTCTCTCTCTCTCTCTCTCTCCAAAATAAATAAATAAATAAATAAATAAAATCTTTAAAAACATAAATTTTTAAAAAGTAAAAAAGAAATGAAAAGACCCACAAAAGTCACAGTGCAGCTCTCATGCCAGGAACTGGTGCCCTGCACTCCCTTCCTCAGCCTCCTCATTCCCCCCAGCAGAGTTGAAACCCCCCTGGGCCTCCAGAGGGCTGCCTCTCCCGGCTGGAGATCCTGGACTCTGCTTCTCCCACCTGCCTCTGCCCTAGCCACGGGGCTGCGCTCGCCCATCCCCTCTGAAGAGCCCCACCTCCGTCCAGCCTTCCAGCTTGGCAGAGTGAGCAGCAGCTCCCAGCCTTTCCCTGAATCGTCCACAATAGACTTTGTCACCTAGCGATGCCCCCAGTACTCTCTTCCTAGAAGGGGTGCTCCTGGCCCCTCAAGCTCCTGTTTCTGGAGCAGAATCCCACTAGCCAGCCACCCTGCTGCTCCCCCCGCCCCTGGCTCCTGCAGGGCCACGTGTACCCTAAGGTGGCCGCCCAGACCGCTCAATGAACAGATGATCCCGGTACAGATGGGGTGCAGAGGAGCAGAGAACTTGGGACCCTGGAGCCTGGCTGCTGTGCTGTGGGAGGAGGACCCTGCAGGGCCTGCCAGGCTCTGCCCCAGACCACCAGGCCGGAAAGCCCTGCGGGATCTGGGAGCTGCCCGGAGACACTGGGCAGGGCCCGGGCCAGCATGGGGCTGACTTGGACCCGCTCTGGAGCCCATCAGGCCCTCCAAGCCCTGCAGATTCCAGGAGACGCCAGGCTGGCTAGGGCCTGCGTGTGTGGGGCATTCGGGTCCTTACCCAGACCAGACCCGAGCCTCTAGACCCAGCCAGTGCTGAAGGTTCAAGGAGATGCCGGAGGACCAGGGTGGGTGTGGTGCTGGGTTTGTGGGACCTGACCCGGACTGACCTCGGTCCATAACTCCAGCAAGCCCTGCAGGGTCTGGGAGTCGCCAGGGGTGGCCAATGATGTGGGAAACAAAGGCAGAAGAAAAATTATTAAATTTCCTTGTTTTCTATAGCCCATGGACAAGTCCTTGAAACAGGCAGAGTGACATTCCTCTAGGGACTCAACTGCCACGAACCTAATATTTTGCTGAGGGCCAAAGGCAATCTTAGCCTGACCCCCAGGACCCTGTAAGTCTACTTTAACATATAAAAATACCTTTGGAAACTACCTTTATCATTACCCTCCAAGCTACATGTTGGCAACCATCCCCCAGGACCCTGTAAGTCTACTTTAACATATAAAAATACCTTCGGAAACTTCCTTTATCTTTACCCTCCAAGCTACGTGTTGGCAATCACCCCCCAAGCGTATGGCCCACTGATACACATCTG